GGGGGGGGGGTGACTTGGATTCTGGCTCTGAGTCACAACCCAGGAACGAACGTGGAGGCCCCGCCCAGGAGAAAACTCCCCTCCGGCAGCCTCACGTTCGCAGGCCAACTGGCCGGAACCGCCAGGCTGCCACAGAGCACACCCAAGCTGCCCCATCCAACCTGAGCCCCGCTAGCTGTCCCATCCAGCTTCAGGCACCAGCATCAGCCCGAGTCAGGGCCTACCCCGCGCTGTGCCGGGGCCAAGCCGTGTTGAATGTGGGGGTGGGGTTTGGAGGGAAGAAGGGCCACCACTCCCTTGACTACACGACCTTCAGGTTGTTGGAACTTGCTAGAGGGAGCAAGAGCTCCTCGCCTCACTCTTTAAAATCTCATTTAAAAATTAAGGGCTTCCCCGGTGGCCCAGTGGTTGAGAGTCCGCCTGCCGATGCAGGGGACACGGGTTCGTGCCCCGGTCCGGGAAGATCCCACATGCCGCGGAGCGGCTGGGCCCGTGAGCCATGGCCGCTGAGCCTGCGCATCCGGAGCCTGGGCTCTGCAACGGGAGAGGCCACAACAGTGAGAGGCCCGCGTACCACAAAAAACAAAAAAACAAAAAAATTAAAGGGAGTCCACAGAATACTAATAAAAACAAATATTATCAAAAAAAAAAAAAGGGCGAATAGGAAATAAATGTCCCTAAGCATGCATACCTCGGGCCACTCCTGGAATGGGTCAGATCTGCGGTGCCCTCCAGGCCATGGGCCGCATCATCCCTGCTTTAGTCCTCTGAGAATCCCAGTGCCTGATGGGGGGCCACTACCCACACTTCCAGCCTCCAGCACCTCGCACTGTCACGTGGGCCTCCCACCCAAGTACCCACAGGCCAGCTCAAGTCTCACATCCTCCAGGACCACCTTGACCGCCCCGGCTCCTGCAGCCACAGAGACCACCACTCTGGTCCCCACGATGCTCGTCCTAACTCCCCAAATGGACAAGCGTAGCCAAGACGGTGGCGGACAGCACAGCAGCTCGTAGCTGTGCACCAAGCGCTGTTCACACACCCAGCAATGCTGCAAAGGACAGAGTGGCTCCGTTTTAGAGTTCCTAGAAGTCAGGGCCTGTGTCTTTTATGCCCTTTGAGTCACATTCCTCATATCCTGGCTCTTTCAGAAACACTAGGGGTGGCAGGAGGTGGGAGGAGAGCTGTTCATTGTTGGGGAGGCCCTGCAGCCGTGGTGACTCCACTACACGCAGCTGGCGGACATGGAGAGCAGTGGGAAAGCTCGCCATGCAGCAGGGCCCCGGGGCCCTGCAGGCAGGTTTGGGGAGGCCCCAGCACACATGGAGAGCAGCTTGGAAGCAGCCCAGGGGACATCCGGAGATGGCCAGCTCAGGAGAGCACAGCCTCAGGAGGTGGCAGTGTCTCCCCAAAGTCAAGTCAGCCAGCAGGGCAGCCCCGGGACCCCAAGTGCCCCAGCTCACTGCCAGCCAAAGGCCTGAAGGCTCCCCAGCCTCCAGCCAGGCGTGAGGCAGGGTGGGGCAGAAGGAGAAGCTCAAATGAAAACTGGATCCAAATGGGAATGTCAGTTTGGCCGAAAGGCAAAACATCTGCAATCCAACATGCAAAGATGAGATCCCAGTGCCTTGGCCTCCCCCGGCCGTCCTCCAGGGCCGATCCTCCAGGGCGGGGGCCTGGGGGCCCAAGAGCAGGATCCCCAACCACACCCATACCGGGAGCCCCAAAGTGGCCACGGCCACTACCCCAAGCCCCACAGTCTCCCAGGGGCTTCTCCCACAGGACAAAAATGTTCACCTGGCAACTGTGCCAAACCCGTCTCAGGGAAAATTATGCAGAAATCCTGGCTCTGGGTGAGCGGGCCCCATTCCCCCTCCAGCCAGAAGTCCTGAACTCTACGGGCAGGACAGGCCACTCCAGCCCCTCGGCCCTCCTCCACCTCCTGCAGCAGGGGAGGACACAGGCCTGTCCAAGACTCCCCCGGCCATTTACCGCAGACCCTGGAGAGGTAAGGCTGTCAACAGCTCAGTGCCTCCAAAGTCGGCCCACAGCTTTGGCCTAAAAGACATCGGGCAACAGGTAGCCACAAGCCCACGCGGAGCCCAGCGTTCTCCATATCACAGGCATTCAATATGTGTGGGCTGAAGGTGAGGAAATCAGAAGGTGGCCCAGATAAAAGGGGGCAGCTGCCCAGAGCGAAACCCCACCTCCTGGGTGGGGCCTCTGTCACCTGCCCCCACCCCAGGACCACGAAGGGGTGCTTACAACCTGGTCAGTTTCACCAGACTGAGAACCACGAGGCCACCTCTCCCAGGGCACTGCATCGTGGTCCTCGGCCACACTGTGCTCACCCAGGACCCGGCCCATTCCGAGGTATTGCCAGGGTAGTAGTTACCACTCATGACTTTCGTACAAAGAGCCTCCTCCAGGAAGCCCTCAGGTACCACTGTGATGTGGACTGTTTGCCCTCCATGAAATTCCCAAAGAACCAATCCTCTCGGCCCCAGGTCTCAGCACCCCAGCCAGGCTGAAGAGCCTTCCCGGCGTCCCCTCCAGGGGCACCATGGGGCCTACAGGTCCACTTACAAGGGTCACCATGACTCTGGCCAGCTGTGGCAGGACCACCCACATGGAGCCCCGGGCCAGGGAGCCAGGATAATGACCCAGGGCTTGAGTCGGGTGAGCCCCAACTCAGGCACTAAGCGGCTCTGAGACCTTGGGCAGGAGATTCTGCCTCTCTGGGCATGTTTGTCACCTCTGTAAATTCAGGGCAACCTCACAGTTCTTATGAAGCTTGAAGGACAATGCATTAAAGACACCACATCCCTCCCCGCAAGAGCCCTCACAGAGGACAAAGGATCCGAGGCTTTCCTGGGCTCTTGGAGGCTAGGATTTCAGAGTCGGTCCCAGGACGACCAGAGCCCTGGGCACCACGCAGTAGAGGTGGGCCCATCCCAGGTCAAGCAGAGCCCCCAGCCTCTATCCGCTTCCCGCATTGGACCTCAGATCTCAGAAGCAGGAGCTCTCGCAGCAGAGACATAATGAAAACAGCCCTGCCTCCCAACCCGGGAGGAGCCCTCGCCCGCCCCCGCCCCTGCCCC